AAGTCGCCGCCTATTATGGAGTGGTGGGAGGGAAAGAGAGCTAGGTGTGCTTGTATTGTCTGCCAGAATGAGCTAGTTGGGGTGTTTGGCGCGTATAGAGTGGTGAAGGCGTAGGAGTGTGTGCCTATCTTGCCTGCGACTGTGAGGAATCGGCCTTGTGGGTCCGCTACCGTCCGCTTTATGGAGAGGGGGCATGATTTCTGTAGAACGATGGCTACCCAGTTATGTTTCTCTTGTGGAGAGCTGGCGAAGTGATTTATTTTATAGTGTCGGCTCAGGAGGGGAAACTGTTTGGTTTGATTGAAGTGTGTTTCCTGCAAGAGGAGTACGTCTGCTTTAGTTCTATTTGCCCATCTCATAAGCTGGTGTCTTTTTGCGGGACTGTTCAGTCCTTTGCAGTTGATTGATAGGCAGGTCAGAGTGGCTGGCATGCTGGTTGGTGCGACGCTGGCCTTTGCGTACGCGTTGTCTTCTTGTGTGGGGTTGCTTTAGTGTGTGGTATGTGGGGGAGTTGTAGGTAGGGTGGGGGGGTTGGGGTGGGGTGATGGCGATAAGTGCCGATGTGAGGAGGTGTGTGTGTGGTGTGGGAGGGGTTGTACCAGTATAACTGGTATGTGGGGGTGTCAGGTGGGGCCTGGTCTTACAGGTCAGTTGCCAGGCGTCTGGTGGGCGGTGTGAGTCGCGTTCGAAGGTGGTCAAGTTTAGTGTGTGTTGGAGTGTGGGTGCTTATATGTTTTGGTGTGTTTCAAATGTGGATAGTGGTATGTGGTCGTTGGAGTTTGTGGGGAGGAAAGTGGAGTGACTGTGTGACGCTCTCTCTTCTACCCCGGGTGTGTGGTGTCTGCTCCGTGGGTGTGGTGCATTTGGAGGGGTTTTATGTGGTTTTGCTCTGTGTTGGTACCTGGTTGTTGCTAGAGTTTGTATGCTTGATGTAGATCTGGGGCTTTTGCGTTTGTTTGTGTGCTGTTGAGTTGTCCGGTGTGGGATCTGTTATGCTAGTGTCTGATTGTGGGGTTTTGTTCGTGGTAGATTTCGGTGCTTGTCTTTATTCTTCTGGTGTTGGTCGTCTTGTGTGTGGTTGTATTGCGGCAGTTTGATGCTCGTGTGTTTGCATGCGTTGTGGCGTGTTTGTAGTCGAGGCTGGTGGGTATTGTTGACTAACCTGTCCGCGTCTGTTGGCCCTTGTGGTCCAGTATGTGGGCTGGTGTTCTGTCGTCAGGCTGCCAGGATTCGTTTGGGGAGGTGATGGGATACTTGTGTCGTAACTTTAACAGAAATAAACAACATGTTATCCAACATCCATGAACTTCAAAAAACTTGGCTCTTGGTGGCCTTTCATCGTGTGCCCAGGGTTGGTGTGTTAGGTCAGTTTTGGTTGCGATGGGGGGCCTCGCTCTGTGTGTGCTAATGACATGCGACGGCTCCCTTTGTCCCCCATCTTTCTGGCCCCTGTGTTCCCCGGGTATGGTTTGTGCGTGTTGTGTTCCGGGTTTAGCTATTGCTATGGGTTTCCACTGTTTAGTGGGGTTTTTCGTGCCCTTCTCGGTTACCCCCTGTTTTCATTTTGGGAGTGTAGTCTTGAGCCTTAAACTCTGGTTGGTGTGGTGTAAGGTTTCCTAACGTTGCGTTTGGCTGTGAGACCCCCTCCCTTTTCTGCCTTTAGGGCTTGGGACCCTCTGGGCATCGGTGGTTGTTAGCGAGTGTCGTTTGCAGGGCCTGGACTTAATCTCTGATGTTTAGTCTGGGTTTCATGTTTGTGCCTGTGTTGTGGCTCCCGCTAGTCTGTGGTGTGTTATGAGAGTCAGGGCTTCGGGTGGGTATTTTGAGGGGGTTGGTTTTGCATTGTGTCCCGTGCCCTCTGCCCGATACCCAGCGCTCCCCTGCTTGTAGGATTCAGTGCCCTCTGCATCTCAGGTGTAATTTGTGAGGTTTTTTTGTTCTGTCTATCTGTCTCTGGTTTGCTCGTCTGCATAACAGAGCGTAGTGTGTGCTAGCTG